GTACAACCCAAAATTTCACAATGTTAAAAACTATTAAAAAATCAAAAAAAAAAAAAAAAAAACTGCGCTTTCTTAGGGCGTGGGAATAGCAATTCCTGGCGTGCCGGGTCCCCAACCTCCTCTCTGTGCCAAGAATGGCTGGGAAATGTGGAAAGCTGGCATCTTGACAAGCAACCCATTGTCCAAGGTCCTGGTTCTTGGCCCCGGCTGCATTAGATTCATTTGGGGAGCTTTAAAGAGATACTTGTGCCCAGACTCAGCCCAGCCCAGTTATATCAGAATTTCAGTCCAGGGTTGGGCCAGGTATTGATATTTTTAAAAATGCTCTCCAGGTGATTCTCACAGCCTTGAAAAAGAACCACAGTTTAAAGCACCTGCTCCTGAATTGGTAAAAGTTGTCTAAAATAAAGACCCGATTAGATAATCTGTAGCTATTTGATACAGCAAGTTGGGAAGAAAGCTAGAATATATTGAGTGCCTATGATGTGCCAGGTCCTGAATGTAGATCTGGTCTCTCAGTATGCTCTCACTTGGTACCTCTGACCACCCTGGAGCAATTATTGAGTGGCCTTTGGGAGTGGGGATGGGGCAACTGCCCTTTTCTCTCTCATTCATCCATTCCTGGGAAATGGATGTGCCCAGAGCTTGAACTGTAGAGGCAGACAGATCAGACTGGGGACAGGTTCCTGCTTTTTCTGGATGTGTGACCTTGAGCAAGTTAGTCAATCTCTCTGAGTCTCAGCCCCTTCTGTAAAATGGAAAATGATGTATACAGGTTGCGTATTCTCACTGGGACTATATTGCCCCCAGATGGATGACATGGGTTCTTGGGGGAGAGGCAAAAACTTGTACTTTGTGTGTGTGTATGTAAAGTACATATATACATACAGAAAATAAACAGATATGCAGTATATCCATGACATTAAAATTTCATGAGAGTGGTGGCAATTAGGTAAAAATTTCTTAAAAGGCTACTGGGGGTGAGATAAAAAATAAAGCTGGGAAATGCTGCTGTAGATTAGAATTGCTATGAGGCTAAAAGGAGAGACTCAATGTACAGTCCTTGGCACAGAGCCTGGCACTCAGATGCCATTCAGTAAATGGTAGATGTTGTTACTGTTATTTGTCAAAACTTTCATTTATTCAACATGCACACTCTGATCCCAGCTGTGCTTTGGGGATATGCACAGCTTTATTGAGATTATGGAGAAAAATAAGGCACCACCTCCGAGTTCACCAATGAGCTAAGTCAAAGCTAAGCTCTCGTGAATGGATGCATGCAGGGCCTGGGAACTAAGGGGACAGCGTGGTTGAGTCCTTCATTTCCTACCCGTCTCCAGTGCTGGGCTCAACCAGGGCAAGAGGTGACTTTGTTCTCAATTCCTGGCCTTGCCTGCAGCATCTCCTGCTGCCAGCATGGAAGAGGGACCCCACTCCACCACCATTAGAGGATCATTTTGCCCCTGGAGAGTAACTGAGTTAAGTGCAATTGTTATTGACAGCCTCCTGTATGGAAAAGCATTCTGTTCCTTGCTGGAGATGTAGGGATGAATAAAAGAATAAGATTCAATTTTTGCTCTTGGTTCTGATGGGGAAAACAGATACATGAAGTAAGCATGTTTATATAACAGGACATAAAAGGTCCTATGTGCAGGAAACTCTGGGGACACAAAGAGGGTGTTTGGAGAAGCTGCTTGAGCTGACTCTTGAAGAATGATTAAGGGTTAACCTGGCCAAGAAGGTGGGAAGTACTTTCTGCACAGGGGAGCAATACGAGCCAAGGGGCAGGAAAGGACTGTAGGTGTAGCCAGGCACAGACGTGGGCAATGTGCAAGGCACCCAGTGAAGATGGAGGCCAGCGGGGAGGCCCATGGACAGCCTGGACATGGAGGACCTTGAGTGCTGGCATCATGTGCAGTGGGGAGCCATAGTTGTATGAGACTCAAGTGAAGGCAAGTTGGTTCTGTAGTTGCGATGGGAGGGTCCAAAGCTTCCTTCAAGGAATAATTCTTTATGTGACCTTCCAGATCCCACATTTCCCAGGTCCAGCTTACTTCCACTCTCTCTTCTTTGCTTTCTCTCTTGCTCTCTGTGTCCATATCACTGGCTTATTTGCAGTTCTGTAAGTGCCACAGGACCTTTGCACATGTTGTGGTTCTCTCTGCCTGGAATAGGTCCTCTATTAGTTAGAAGGAGTATCGCATTAATGTCTGTCTCCCCCACTAGACTTCAAGCTAGGGACTGTGTCCATCTTCACTCAACCACAACATCTAGCATAATTTGTGGAAGGAAGGAATGGAGGTAGGAGGGAAAGATGGAAGGAAGGAAAGAAGGAGGAAGGAAAAGAGGAAGGAAGAAAGGAAGAAAGGAAAAAGGGAAGAAGGAAGAACCCCCAAAACTTTTGTATGCCTTCCCTTGCTCCCAGTCCTCCCCACCCGAGACTCTCTTCTTTGATCCTGCCTGGGGCCAGGGTCAGAACCAGCATCTGGCCATCTAGGCAACATGTTCCCAGTGGGCCTGTCATTTGAGCAGTGTGCCTCCAGCGGATGAATGCTAATCGATGATGACAAGGAAAACAACTTTCATGTCTCTGCTTGACAGTTCACTTCCAAAAATTGAGACCAGGCATGCCCAACTAATCTTGGCTACCAAGATGGTCAGAGAAACAGGGCAAGTATTGGAGAACTGAGACTCCCCAGAGGCCACTTGTGTGTCCATACGGAGAGGCCCTAAAGCTGACTGAGCAGCCGGAATCAGCACTGGAGCCCTGAGCAGAGGCACCTTGAGGCAGCGCCGTACCATGCACTTCAGGGCTGGCAGGAACGTGGGAGCAGGACTGAACTGGGTCCTCAGTCCTTGTATTCAGGTCCTATGGGATTTCAGGAAGAGTGTATTCTACACGGTGCGTTGTCTTTATTGAAATGGAATGAAAGACAAATGGCCCAGGGTTCAAATCTTGGTTTCGTTGTTTACAAACTGTGTGTGTGGGGGGGTACCTCCTTTGCCCTCTCCAAGCCTCGGTTACATTATCTTATAAACTGTGTGTTGGGGGTGGGATCAAAATAGTACCTCATTCATTATCATTGTAAAGATTAAATAAGACAGTGTATGTAAAATGCTCAGTAGTGAGCCTCCTGAGTGGAAAGTGTTCAATTCACGTTAACTATTATCGTTATCAGCTAATAGAGTTATTATCACAATAAGAATTATTATCTTCCTAGAATAGAAAGATCAGCTTAGTTCATCATACATTTATATGGCTTTAAGAGTGTCCTCAGACCTACGTAGATGTTGTCACCAAAAGACGCACAAGAAATTTCCTAATAGCAATATGTTAAGAGCCCCAAACTGGAAATAGCCCAGATGCCCATCAAGAGTGGGATAGACGAGCTCAGTATCGCCACGTGCTGGAATACTATATTAGGATGAACTGTGATGACTCGCAGCCACGTGGGTGAATCTCACAAACGTAATGTGGAATGAAATTATCCAGACATGAAAGAGCACACACTGTGTGATTAGAGCAAATGCAGGTGGAACCAGTCTATGGTATAGAAGTCAGTGTGGTGCAGCCTCCGAGGAGGAGAGGAGGAGTTTTACTCAAGAAAGGAGGGCAAGGAGGACTGGTAATATTTTGTGTCTGAGCTTGGGCGCTGGGTATATGAGTGTGCCCACTTGGTGCAAGTCCATCAAGTTGTACATTTTGATTTATGCACTTTTCTGTGTCTTTGTTGCGCTTCAGTTAAAGGTTTACTAAACAAACAAGCCTATTCAGCAGAGAGCTAAGAAGACAAACGTGAGGTGAGAGGAGAAAGCAAGTAGTACAATTCTGTGCTTACCCACAAGGACAGCTGCTTTCCCTATTCCTTCCCACACGTGACTTAGCCATTCAACTATATGAATTCCACTCACAGGTATCCAGCCACTGCCTTAATCTGGGCCATTGCTACCACTGACTAACTGGTTTTCTTGGCCTTTCTTCTTCTCTTCTCCAAACCACTCTCTAGAACCAGAGCTACTAAATTAGAGTCTTTGGATCCGGTCCTTCTGATTTTTAAAAATCTACCATGTGATTCTGATGCACCCCCACCCTTGAGAAGCCCTCTTCTACACTAGAACAAGAACACACACCTGACCTTGACCCTCTCCACACTAAAACAAGTCCAAGGCTACCGAGCAGCACCCTAACTTAGTGACATTTCCCAATTTGTCCGAAGGATATGTTCTCCATTTCCAGCTTCTCCTTCATCCTCAACATCTCCGCCCCATTTCAAATTTGCCTCTGATCCAAGCGCACCAAGTTAGTTCTCTTTCTCTGAGTCCATTTTGTTACTTCACCACCACCCCCACGCCTCCGAGTAACCTAGAATGCCCTCTACGCTCGTGGGGACCTTCTAGTCGTCCACTCATCTTCAAGACCTGGCTCAAATATGGTCTCCGTGAAGCTGTCTATCAAGGCTCCTGAGCTCTCTGGTTCTGCCGCAGAACCTTGTAAATCCAGGATTAGAGCATGTCCCTAAACGTCACTCTGCCCTATCTGACTGTAGGCTTCACCCACCACATGAAGGTTCCGCATGCGGTTCTGTTTATCTCTGCATCCTCAGTGCTTGGCACCTGCCTGGGATGTGGGAGGTGATCAAAGACCTGATTGAGTGAAGTCCTTCAGCACAATCAAAGCCACGGGGCTACAAAAGGATGCTGAGGGGAAGCATTTGAGGATCTAGGGTGGGGAGGAGTAATCCACATTTAATGGTCAGAGATGCCTCTAGTACTAAGCTGTCCAACCTACTCACGCTCTTTCTGTTTTTGTTTTTTCGTTTTGTTTTGTTTTCCCCAGTGACCTTCAGTGACTGTAAGGGGAATGACAAGCTACGCTATGAGGTTTCAAGCCCATACTTCAAGGTGAATGATGAAGGCGGCTTAGTGGCCCTGAGAAACATAACCGCAGTGGGCAAGACGCTGTTCGTTCACGCCCGGACTCCCCATGCGGAAGACATGGCAGAACTCGTGATTGTCGGGGGGAAAGACATCCAGGGCTCCATGCAGGTAACACAGCTGTTCGGGATAAATTGGATCCAATGAGAAACATGTGGTCTGTATGTCTTATGTGGAAAATGAGTCTTTGGTTTATTATTGGCTAAGGTTCTTTTGTTGCTGCAAATGACAAAAACCCAACTCAAAAAACTATGGGGGAGTGGGAATTTATTGGCTCATGTGACAGATATTTTGGGGATAACTCTGCCTTCAGGCATAGCTGTGTACCAGTGCCCAAATATGACATCAGCTTTGCTCCTTATCCATCTTGTGGTTCTATCTTCCTTCTGTTAGCTTCACTCCTAGACAGTTGCATCCCTCCCTGCCTCACAATGTGGAGGTGTCGGCAGCTGCACTTTGTCCTCTCAGCCTGAAATTGCCTGAGAGTATCTCTTCCTGATAATGCCAATAAAAGCCTGAAATCAAATCTCATTGGCTCTCATTAGATCATGTGCTCATCCCTGAATCAATCTCTTTGTCCATTGGGCCATAATGCTCTGGCTGGTTAAGTCTGGGTAACATGCCTTGTCCTGAAGCCAGGGTGGAGTCAGCCCCACCTAAAACATACGGACTGAGAGTGAAAGACGGGTAGTTACCCAAAGTAAAATAGCATGCCGTTATTCGAAGAAGGGAAATGGATGTTGGGCAGGCAAGACCACAGTGACCCACTAGAGTTGTATAACTAGGCAACCATTGCATATAGCGCTGCTCCTTTGCAATGCACTGGTCCCATTCCTTTCCAGATGCAGGAGTATGCTGATCCCTGCACCTGCACACATGTACACAGAGTGCCACAAACTGGCCTTCAGGCTTCCTGACTGTGTCATCCAGAGACTTTACTACTCCTCCTTCCCCAGGAGCTCAGAGACCCCGTGGCCTCTTGATTATAGAAAAGAAAGGTGCACAGCAAGACCCTGGCAAAATAAGAACAGTAATAATGGTGTGTCCCCAGCTTGGCGTGGGGCCAGCTTGGCGTGCTGGCCTTTTCTCCCACCTGATGGCTTGCTCTTACCCAGTTTTTCAAAGTCTTGATTATTGCTGCCTGTCTCCATCTGCCACAGTCCCCATAACCCTGCTTTATCTGCCAATTTTGTTCAGTGGTGGAGTGTAGGTGGTGGAGTGAACACCGATTCCCCAGCTGGGGAGCAGAGACAGCACAACTGGCCATGCGAGTGTTGCTTTCCTGCCAGCGTTCTCTATGTATGATCTTGGAAGAATCATATAATTTCTTTATCTGCAGACCAGAGAGGTTAAACAGTCTGGAAAGGCAAATAAGTGGCAAGTACATTGCCCCATTCTGTCACCATACTCACGGCAGATATTGCTAATCGCCCCTGGCTTGACCTGGATATCTTTCCCAATACAGTGCTTCTGGAAGCTACTATCCATTGATCATTTAGAGATGTTTCCAGAGATGGCATCTACTTGCCATCCTTGGTCTGGAAAAACTTCATAATTCCCCTCTATATCTCTGAGTCTGTGAGTTAAGGGTAGAGAGCAAGCTAAAAATGAATCCACGTTGTGCCACTGATGTTTTCAAGGAGGATATTGGTGAATACATACCAATATGGAAACCCATTGGCACCACAAAAAGCAAGCTTTTGTTTTACTTAGCCATGGTCATTTTCACAGCATCTCACTAACTCACGATATAAATGACTTGGAAAATATCTAAAGCAACAAAATTTCCAGGATGTGCAATACAAAGTGCTTCTTAGGAACGAGTAAATGGCGCAGAGATTCACATAAGAGGGCTTGTGCGTGGGATGGAATGTACTTAGACGGACGTTGTTCATCATGATTGGTGGCTCATCTTTAAATCTGGAAAAGACAATGTCATAGTATTTAGCTTAAAGCAGAGCAGAAGGGATTCTGGGCACTCTCAGGACAAGCTCCAACTTGACCAGCTGGGAGACCCAGAGTTCAATATGCAAGGACTCAGCCTTGAAGAGCTGGCCTCTAGAGTCCCAGAAAGACACCCTTCTGGAGGCAAAGCCCCTCGGTGCCCTGGCCGTGTCTCCTTTGCCTCTGTCTGAGCATGTTTTCGACAAAGCCTGGCTGCGATCGTCTGCGTCTTATGAAGCATAGTAGAGGCTGCTATGCCATTCAGTTTGCCAGACTCCAGCAGAACGGGGCATTCGTCTCCTGCCTCCAGTAATTTTATGAGGTTTGAAAATAGGCCTTGTGAAGCTGCCCAGATGTGTCCATAATAAAAAGTCCAAAAACAGAAAAGAGAAAAAGGAAAGGATAGCAAAACAAAAGAGCTAGCCAAAGAATCCCTCTGAAGAGAGCGCAGTCCTTAAGAGATATTCAGTTGGTATTTTTGAGGCCCTACTGTGTGTGGCCAAGTGAGCCAGCTGCTAAAGATGGAAAGCAAAAAGTACACAAGTCAGCTCAGTTCTTTGTTAGGAAGGGAAAGTGAACGTGTATGTTGATTCAGTACCAAGCGGGGAGGCAGTGGTGATCACTGTTCTGTGCCTTTAGAGAAGGGAAGCTGGGCTTCCTTCTGTAATGACAGCCAAAGCTTTCATGGCGCTCACTGTGTGCCAGGTGCTGCTCTCATGGGCCACAAATGCTGACTCCTTTAATCCCCCCACCATCCATGAGGCACGTGCTACTGTCCCCATTTTACAGATGTGAGAAACTGAGGTACAAAGAAGCGAGTAAGAACGTATATCATTTAGTGGAACTCTCTTACATGTGTGCATCTCAGTGTATGCTTTAATGTGCATTATTTTTAACCCTTACAACCTCCCTGTGAGGCTGCTGATATTACCCTTAACACAGATGTGAGAACTTAGCCAAGATCCTCTAGCTTGAAATCGGCAGAAATGAGATTGAAAGTCTGGCCTTTCTGTTCGAGCATCCATTCTCCTTCCTGCCACTTGGCTTGCCAGGAGGCTATGCCATCTGGGTGGCTGGAGTGACTGTCCATGGTTCAAGAGATGAGGGCATGAGTTAAAGCGATACAGTAGAAATGTAGGAAAACAACAAATGAAAAGTGTGGCTTGAAGGAAGAAAGAGCCAAGATTCAATGTCTGGATGACTCCAAATTGTCTAGCCCAGTAGGATGGAGAGGGATTGGGCCAGTCAGAGAAGGAGGGGTTGGGAAAGACTACAGTCAGGCTTGGATGTGTTGAGTTGGTGGCTCCTGGGGACATCTTGATAGAGATATCCTGAAGACAACAGGGAATGTGGAACTGGATCTCAGGGTAAATATTTGGGAAAAGAATAGCATAGTGATAGGATTTTGGCTTTCATGTTGAACTTAAGTGGGTTCAAATTTCTGTTTCACCACCTGTGATTATGTGACTTTGGGCAAGTCGCCCAACTCCCTAAACCTCAACATCCTCATCTGTGATACAGGGATAAGAATAGAGCCTACATCACAGAATTGTTCTGTTGGGCACAGCACCAGACACCAAGTGACACATCCCATCAATGATATCATTTTGGAACCTCTAAAGGGTAAGAAACCAGGGGTTCCGTGTCCTCACTGAGGACAGGAGACAGAAGCCAGAGATTGAGGGCCGGAGGAGAAAGTGAAGCCAAAGAAAGAGAGAAAAGGTTTGCTCAGAGTGGGCAGTGGGGCATTCAGCGTTACCAAAACAGGAGAGATGTCAGAGTGGCTAATTTCACATTACTAAGTTTTGGAAGGAAAGATTCTCTGAGATAAATGTCACCTCAGTGAAGCCTGGCTCCTCTGCGGACTGGGGCCCACCTCTTCTTTGATAAAAGGATGTGCCTCTCTTATTTTCACCTGCTGCCTGTGACCCCATTTCACCCGAAAGCCTATCGCCCGAATCTGTGAAGTGCAATTGTTAATGGTTAATTTATAGACTCCCAAGCTATTTCTGCATTTTTATTTTCTGCAGAAGCTTTAACACCACTCCCTACATTGAACTCTGTGCTCTCCCCACCCCCTCGCAATAGCAAACCACTTGCGGTTTCTTTAATTGGCCAAGCTCTCCCTCACGTTCACACTGGCTGCTCCCCTGTCTGGATTATGCCCCCTCACCATGGCCCCAGCTGCCCCATGGCCAACACCAACCAACATGGCTAACTCCCTTGATACTTCTGGACTTGCCAAGATTTCCCCTCCAGGGACACCTCTCTGATTGTCCCCCTGGTTGGTTAACTGTTTTTTCCTTCATGCTCCTCACAGAACCCTGCCTGGCTCCCCTCATCATGGCACTAAGCTTTAACTCTCTGGTTTATCTGTGCTTGTTCCCGTCTCAATTCTGAGCTCCTGAATGTAGGGACCTGGCTTCCATGCAGGGAAGCTAAGAACCCTGCCCTGGAGCCAGATGCCTTGGCATGATTCCTGGTGCTGCACTTACCACCTCTGCTCCAGGTCCCTCAGCTGGAAAATGGGTTCATAATAATATCGACTTCACAGAGATGTTATGAGGATTAAATGAGTAAATATATGCAAAGCATTTAGAACAGTGCCCAGCACAAAGTAAGTGCCAGGAGAGAGAGACCTTGTTGGAGGTTCTAACAGGGGAGCGCAACTACTCGTATATCCTTGGCTGAAGAAGGGTCCTCCTTTATGGGGGAAGGTCGTCCTCTTCCACCCAGCATGCAGCTTTGGGAGGGATGCACACAGAGGGATGAGGGAGGAAGGGGACACCCGCCTAGCCAGCCAGATTAGCCGAATAAACCTGGTGATCAATGGGGTGACACATGTCACAGCCAGATCGCCCTCACATCCATAAGTGCCATGAAAATGCCAGTTACACCTCAATATTTTACCATCAAAGACAGACTATAATAAATGCTCAGCGAATGAGCCAGACAAATTGAGACAGCTCAGTTCTTCATCTCTTCCCAATATGACCTAATTCTATGACTTCTACAACCCATAGAGAATTCAGACTTACAAGTGAACTTAAACCACTGCCATTCCCATTCCTCAGGTGCCCACTTTATGTGAACCACTGACTAAACTTCCAGGAGAGGATTATTTCTCTATGTGGGTCCACTTAATGAACACCCAAAGACTTGGCAGT